AAGCTACAGAATAGCAAAGATTCTATAGAGCATACCTCCTGTTTTCTAAAGTGTATGTGTGTGCACGTGTGTCTAACTAGCGTTCTTTCCTTTTTCTAGTGCCAGCAACTCCCTGCCTTGAGTTCATGTGGTGCTGTCATTTGCAGCATCCAATGATAAGCGCCACCCCACTTCGGCACAGAGAGGGGGGGACCCAAGTCCAGCCTGTTGGAAACCCCACTAGCTACAGTGGGTTTGGTCTAAGCAGTAGGAACATGGCCCTAACAGAACAAGAAGTGACTGTCCTTTCCAGGGATTGATCTACAGGCTTGTGGCTAGAGACACTCCTCCTTGTACCGGAATCACTGAATAGGTGCATTGTGAGTCTGGGTGTGCAGGTGAGCATCTTTCCCACAAAGGGAAGGAAGTCCATCTGCAGTTAATTGAAATGGAAAACGAAGAACAACTAGATGATGGAAAAGACAAAAGGCAGAAAGAGGAGGGAAGACTTCAAATTAACCCCAGGATGGAATCATGCCAGAAGCCAGATCCATGCCTAGACTTCCCAATAATATAAGCAACTGATTTCACTTTGGCTTAAGCTAGCCTGAGTTGGGTTTGTCTTGTGCAAGTAGAAGAATCTCCTAGATATCCTGAATATATACACAGATACCTATGCATAACCCCTCTCCAAATTCAAAACATATCTAGGCAGGTTAATAGTCCTTACATCTGATTGAGATTTGAGTTAGGGGAAAAAAATATCAACCTTATTCACTAATTTTAACTTTTCACAATAAGCTATTATTTTATGATTTTTTAAGTAAAAATTGTTTTTTGTTTTTTGTTTTTTTGTTTTTTTCAAAAACAGAATCTCTATTCACTCTTTAGGTAGGAACCATAGCACACCCAATAGGCAGCAATATCTGAAACAAGCAAAACTACACATGCTGTGCAAAATCACATCCCTAATCTGTTTGCTTGATTCAGTTCATTGCATAGGGAACGGCTGCAAACTAGAGTCTTCTAGAAACGCCATTTAGCCCGCCTTCATCTTTGCCATTTCTGCTAAAATGTTCTTATTCTATGTAAACGTCACTCTGGGCACTAGAAAAGCAAAATTTCTTACAGATTCCAGCTTGCCACTTTATCATTCGAATAACCCCAAAATTATGCTCCATTTTCTCTCTTTATGCCAACTAAGAACAAGCAAGTTACCTCCGAGGAATACATAACAACATGGCCAGATTCTGTCAGATTAAAATATGAGACAAATTAACCCTCATTAAGAGAATGCACCTGCAACACTGCCTACCAACTGTGAAAAAACAACTGGCCGCATCTCTGAGTCCATATTGTCTTCACCCCTCATTAAGCAACCCCCCTGGATTTTGCTGAGCAGCCACTACCATGAGAGGCTCTGCAGTAGACGGCTCTGGCTGAACTGCAGGGAGGGGGTTTTGCAGACACATTGAGGCTTTTCAGTCTGTTCTAAAATACATTTTTCATGGGAAATGAAGGGAAGTTTGATTTTAGAAATGTATCTTTATTTTCTCGATGAGAAAAAAGCTAACATGTTTAAAGGATGCCAGTCTGGTTTATTCCATGATTTTTAAAGCAAAAGATTTTTGATAGATCAGTCTCCTTTCTGATGCCTTATGTTGCTCAGAACCTCAAGTGGCCACAGAAACGTGTTTTGCCAAGGTTAAAAGAAGGCCTAATCTTCTGCTTTAAAATGGGATATTTTTTTTCTCTCCTACTAAAGAGATTCCATTTCTAAGTAGAAGGTAAAATGTTCTTGACGTAACTTCTCTGGGTTGATAACAGTAATGTGCAGGCCTGTGCATTTTCCTCATTGGAGCTCCTTGATTCCTCCAAACTTTACTAAGTTCAGGGGAATCAGTGTCCTCCCCAAGGTCACACCACCAGAAAGCCATGGAGCTGGCATCTGAAACCAGGTGTGTTTCATTCCAGAATTCACGTTTGTAATTACAATGCTATTATTGTACAAGGGCATGCAAACTACAGCTTGCAGGGGCCACATCCAGACCACGTTATGTTACTATAAAGTTTTATTGGAGGCCAGGCACAGTGGCTCATGCTTCTAATCACAGCACGTTGGGAGGCTGAAGCAGGCAGATCACTTGAGGCCCGGAATTCGAGATCAGCCTAGCCAACATGGTGAAACCCTATCTATCTCTACAAAAAATACAAAAATTTGCTGGGTATGATGGCCTATGCCTGTAATCCCAGCTACATGGGACAAGGCATGAGAATCGCTCGAACGCAGAAGGAAAAGGTGGCAGTGAGCTGAGATCACACCACTGCACTCCAGCCTTGGAAACATGGCAAGACTCCGTCTCATAAATAAATAAATAAATAAAGTTTTATTGGAACACAGCCTCGCCATTTGTGAATGTACTGGAGAAGGCTGCTTTCAAGCTACAGCAGCAGGGCTGAATACAGTAAGTGCTTACTTAACACCATCGATAGGTGTTTGGAAACTGTGGCACTAAGTGAAACCATATATAACCAATTTTTTTCCTCATCAGCACAATGAAAAGACATTGAAGGAAATGACGTTGTTGTCTCACTTTGTTGCAGTTTCCAAGAACCTACCAATAATGTTAAGTAAAGACTTACTGTATTTGTAACAAAGACTCCTTGGCCTGCAACACCAAAAATATCTACTCTCTAGCCCTTTACCAATAACTTTGCTGACTGCTAGTACTGTAAAATTCCCTAGTTCACGTGACGAGCAGAGCTCCACTCAACATCACTGGAGACCAAAAGATGTCACTGATAATGTTCATTGCCAGAAAGAACCCCACTTCGTGGCAGATACCAAGCCCAGGGGACTGCCTTTTACACGGTGATGACTGACGGAGCCTTATCTGACCAACTCAGCTCTTTCGCAGACTGTATACAAGATAAGGTTCCTACAAGATAAGGTTCCCACATACTGGAATCAACAGGTCAAAGGTAAGAAGACCCAGAGGTCTTTCTGGATTGTGCACAAGCTCCTTCCCTCTTCTGTCACCCTCACCCCCAACCCTCTCACACATAAGGCACACTCCAGATATGGCAAGGACTCACAGGTGTTCCAAATACTGTCTGCCAGCTTTTCAGTGATGCCCTTCTATTTGGAATGGGGAGACTTAAAGGATAAAGATGCTGAGCTTAAAAAAAAAGAAAAAGAAAAAAAGAAAAAAGGGAGACCAGGCGTCAGTGGCTAATGCTTGTAATTCCAAAACTTTGGGAAGCTGAGGCAGATGAATCTCCTGAGGTCAGGAGTTTGAGATCAGCCTGACCAACATGGCAAAACTCTGTCTCTACTAAAAATAAAAAATTAGCCAGGCTTGGTGGTGGCTTCCTGTAGTCCCAGGTACTTGGGAGGCTGAGGCAGGAGAATTGCTTGAACCCTGGAGGCGGAGGTTGCAGTAAGCTGAGATCACGCCACTACACTCCAGCCTGGGTGACAAAGTGAGACTTCATCTCAAAAAGAAAAAAAGGCAGAGAGGACAGAAATCAAGAAAAAACTACTGTGCCTACATGACCTGCTTCCCAGAATTTTATTTGACAGAAAACCACCAAAAATGAACACAGCTTCAGTCTAACGGAAGCAAAAAGTCATATGTTTCACATTTGTTATCATTTTTAACTATTTAAAAAAGTTAAATACCTTTCCTTTCCAGGCCAACAAATTAGATCCTAGCAACGCAGATCTCTTTGACATAATATTGCTCTGGTATATGTTTTTCATTTGTCAGATATTTGTTATGCACTTACCATGTGCTCAGTGCATGAGATACAATGGTTCCTGTGCTCATGGAGCCTCCATTCTAGTTGAGAATGGAAATAATAAATAAGAATATTTTAGATAGAGGTAGATGTTTATGAAGAAAATGAACAGGATGTATAGTATGTAAAAGCGGCTCAAGCAACGAAAGTAGAGCGGTCCTGTAAAGCCAGGTCTATGAGCCATCTCTGGTGGCAGAACAACAAAACATTTTGTAGGGAGGCCTTTTGTCCTCTATGATGTCACCACAATGTATTACTTCCCTACTTACGTCTCTCTCATTCCAGAAATGATTTTCGGTAACTACATCAAATACCTAAGAATGACAGTGTACGTATCCAACAATGGTGAGATGGTTCATTAAAATGTGTAATTTAAAAGGTGCTGCAGAAGATTATATAGGGAAATGGGAAAATGTTGCCAATATGTGATGTGGAGAAAGTAATTCTAAAACACTACTGTATTGCATAATGTCATTTTTGGTCATATAGTTGTATAAGTATTAAAAACTACCCATTAAATATTAACTGAGTGGTTATAACTGCATAATGGGATTATAGATGATTTCTATTTTCTTTTTGGTGCTTCTCTGGATTTTCTCTATGGTATTCTAATAAAAACTTTTTATTTGTTAAAGGCAATTTGGAAAAATTTTAGGCAATAGACTTTGAGTCTTTCACTTTGAGTCTTTCAGTCTCATGGATAAAGCTATCCCTGGACATCTACGAGATGGCAAAAGCATGTAACCTCTGCCTGTGTCCTGCGGACTTACTTCATTCAACACCCTGGTGTGAGTTCCCTGCTTCCCAAGCAGCCTTCTGGGTAGGGCTTGGTTTTCCACATGGTTCTGCTAGGAGGGAGAGAAGCAGGTGGTCATCTGGGTATGAGCATTTCTATCTCTTTGGCAACTGTAGTATTCACGGAAAATGAATAAGTTAATAGTTTGGTTTTCAGGCATCGGTCACAGGAGCCTGGTCAGCACAAGTTCTTCCCTGAAAGACAGGCACAGTGGTGACAGTGCTGAGTCAGGAGTCTGAGGCCCCATGGCTGAGGGCCAGACCCAGAACCAAAGAGAGCTTCTGTCCATTCCCAATTAAGACACTAAATTAGCACTTCCCATCATTAAGCTTTACCCAGTAACTGTTGCTAAGAATTACCTGCCAGATGGTGACGTTTCCTGCTTTCATTTCTAAGACTAACCCATTCAAGGGTGAAAGGGTGCTCTCCAGTTTTGGTCTCTCAGGATGTGGTCTTCAAGCCCTCCAATTACACTAGGAACTCACCTTCATTCAATCTTCCATGACTCAAAGTTTATAGATACTAAATACAGAAGAAAATAATATTAAACACTACATTTCCCAATACAACTTCAAGTAATAAGAGAATGTGACCTAAGTCTTAGAACAAGCTTTGGCAGCAGGCAGGCAGGGCAGGCAGGCATCAGCAGCCCCATTGTACAAGTGAGGACACTGAAGCTCAGGAAGCCTCAGCTAGACCGGGTCGCACAGCTTGTTAATGGCACAGCCAGGCTTAGCCTTCCTACTAACAAATGGCTCCAACCTAACAGAACCATCTGCTGGAGCCTGCCAGCCCTTGTTCTCTCTTCTCTACCCTCAAGTGTCCATCTTCCTCCCCCTCCCACCCAGCAGAGCTATTTGAAGACATGACATACGAAGAATCTGAAGGACGATGTTATGCTTTGGACTCATTCCTACAGCCTAGAAGGTGCAAACTTAATAACCTAGAAAAATCCAGTAGGTTATGTAAATAAAGGCAGGAGCCAGTTTAGAAGAGGGAATGGTCTGTGGGAACCTGGAGGATGCCCATCTGCACAGCAAAGTCTCTGAATCCAATATATCAGAGGTCAGCAAACTGCAACCCATGGGCCAAATGCAGCATGCTGCCTATTTTTGTATAGCCCATGAGCTGAGACTGGTTTTTACATTTTTAAATGATTATATAAATAACCACATAATAGCCTTGATTTTGTCATTTGAGCTACAAAATTATCTACTATCTTGCCCTTTACAGAAAAAAAAAAAAAAAAGTTTGGCAACTCCTATACATACAACCATGTTGCCATGATGAGTGCAGGCCTGGTGTGGCCACATCTTCTAATTGTTCAAGAACTGTTATCTTAACTTTCCTATTAGTAAACGTTCATAATTAGCATTTGAACTCACTGTAACACAGGTCAAATATTTGCAGGCTTTTCCTGTGAACTCAACAACTGAAAGGTAAAAAATAGACCCTTATTTCAACTCATAACCATAAGTTCTTCATATATCATTTTCCATATTTATATTTATTATCTGTAAGATGGGAATTATGTACAGGGTTGCTGAAACGCTTTTTGAAATTACTAATAAAAGTTCATAGGGGTGATATCATGGTCTAATGCAATAATATATGCAGAACACCTTACACCCTTCATAAAGAAAGCACACAGTAAATATTAGTGACGTTTTTAATACTTATTTTCACTAACCATATTACCACTATTTCCCTAAGCATACTGTGTTGTTTTTACTGGACATATCTACCATATACCACGAATTACACTAGGTGTTGCAGACACTGACATGAGAAAGAAAAGCCACTCAAGCAACTTGAACCTAACCAAAGAGACAAGTGTGCAATCAGCTCATTTCAGTTAAGTGTTGAATGTGCCAATAGGGGCATATGTGAAGTGACTTGGGACCCCAGAGAAGGACCCTTAACTCAACCTCTAAGGAAACAGAATGAGAATGGGTGTAGACAAGTCCAGAAGTGGGAAGTTACGGAAAGTTAAGGCCGCTTATGACACATAAACTCCATTTTATTTAAGTTTTTAAATGAGACAGTCTTGTATTTTGTATCATTTTATTATAGAGGACAAAAAAATTAGTCTCTATGAGGTATCTAAATCTGGTTTACATTATGTAAGTATTGAACAAATTTCAGAAGCAACTATATAATTACAAACCAAAGGAGAAGTAGACACTTGGCCATAATCTCTGTTGCCCAAAAACCAAAGCTGTGATATCCTCCTCTTTTGTGTAAGATCTGCCTGCAAACAAGCGAGAGACCATAGGTCACAGCTATAGAAGCTCCTCTACTTATGAGTTTTCAACCTGTGAACACAGCTGTTCATCAAAACCACCTCATGCCAGAGTCGCAGTCTATTAACTGTTCCCTCTACCAGAGGGCACTGCAGTTACTTTACAACAGAGGTTGGCAAACCTATGACTCAAGGGCCAAATATGGTCCACTGCCTATTTTTGTAGATGAAGTTTCATTGAAAATCAGCCATGCCTTTTGTTTCTATATGGTCTATGGCTGCTTTTGCATGACAATGGCAGAGCTGAATAGCTGTGACAGACACTGAACAGCCTGCAAAGCTTAAAATATTTCCTCTCTGGCACTTTATAGGAAAAGTTTGCCAACTCTTGCTTTATAGTCACTTTAGCCTTCGGAACAACTGGACACATATCTACCCCAGAACCTAAGCAAATAGACATATTTGTCTATTAAAACTCTCAGAGTCAATCATTAAGAATGAGGCTATGGTCCAACTTATGTAATGGATTTGCATTGCTTAGTACTTTCCTGGGATAGCACCTTAGCTCAACAGTAAGTTGGTGACAGCCACTGCTTGATACACACAAAACCATGACCCTCTCAATTCCATGGCAGACATTACTAATCAACTGTGGCACTCTTTCTTGCCAAGGCCAGAGATGACCTCTGAGTCCTTCTCAACACAGCCCTTCAGTCATCTACTACCAATAAATCAGAGTTATCCAAAGAAAGAAACCCACCTGTCATTATGGGTTGTGATCTCAGAGCAGGACTTTGAGAGATGTTTTGAGTGTTGTTAGCTACTTTCTTCCCTTGAATCCCACAACGTAGGCCCATGTCCACACTTAAGGCCAAGAGCTGGCTTGATTTTCACAACGTTTAGTTCAGAGAAGGAGGAAAAAGGCTTTATTTGTCCCATAGTGCTTCCCCAAAGTCTGTACTTCACATCTGAGAACTGAAGCTCCATTCAAAAGCCTCTAATTACTGAATCTTTCTGTGGCTAAGATTTCAGCACTGCAACTATTTTAAATGATTTTCTTTTCTTTCTGTATTTTCCATACCACTGAAGCTGCCTCAAAGAAAGCTATGTGAACACTGAGCACAGTGGATATTTATGATTCATAATTACTTTTGACTTCTCAAAGTCAGAATAAATAAACAAATAAATGCATCCAAATGCACTTGAATCATTTGCTAGGTTCCAGTTTTCCAGTTCTTCTTCCACCCTCGGCTGCTCCCCAACGACAATACCCTTGCCTCCAAATCCTGCAGAAGCCCAATATGCCTTTACACCCCCTCAACTACACACTTTATTATTTTAAGGTCAATACCTTTATAAATGTGCTTTTGACTGGCTTTTCCTAGATAACTTGAGGGCACTTCTTCTTTGCAAGCAATAAAAATAACCTGACCTGGGATGTTATCAAGATGAAAGCAATTATAAAGTCCTGAGATGAACTGCCTGGGAAAGCCAGCACCCCTTATTGTTAATTCTTTGAACAAGGAGGACCTACCTTTATGTAATTATCAATCTCATGCCTGCCTTATTTCAAAGGGCCTCACCCTTAAAACATAGGGCATAAGGAATTACATATTTGGTTTTGCAAGCAATTCTTCATCACATGTTAATATTTTTCCATAGTCAGGGCATTGAAACTTTCCTACAGGCAAGTGGATATTGGACCACCCTTACCTTTTTGAATTGTCAAGGTTACTTAATTTTCCACATAGTGTCCTTTTTCCCTTTACCCCCCACCCCCACCCCGCCCCGCCCAGCGAGATGTCAAGTTAACTGAATGCTAACAGCTATCCTAGAAGCACCAAGTTCAGTGTCAACAGTGTCAAACTTAATGAAAGAAGCAGAGCATTCAAGGGAAATGAGCTTAACCAGTCCTTTTGGCATTTCCTCTATTCGGATTTTCTGAATCATGCAACCACAAAGAAAAGCCCACTGGGACCATTTCAGTAGACAGCAATAAGGATGTGTATGAGGTTTATGTCGTTGTTGGGAGCTTGGATTCTACTCTTCCAGAATACAACCTCAAAAGGAGCCACACAGGTAGAAATCATGTTCACTTGGGTTGCTTTAGGACTAGTCCCAGACATCTGTTAAGAATGCAGACCTTTGGGTATGAGCCACACCTATGCCATTTCTAGCTATGTGACTTTAGCCAACATAGTCAAACTCTTTGAGCCACAGGTATTTCTTCTAAAATTGGGGTTAAGGAAGAATAGCTGGAGGATGAAAAAGCTAAGACCAGTAAAGCATTCCACAATGATAGAGCAGCCAGGAGTTACTACCAAGGCCTTATCTCCTCCACCTATCAAACAAGAGGGTTTATTCTGAGTGCATTCACGATCTATCAGCACCAGCATTCTACTTGTCCAGTTATTGGAATAAGAGACTGAAGGAGCCCAGTTGAAAATAACTTCAGCGGCCAGGCACAGTGGCTCATGCCTCTAACCTCAGTACTTTGGAAGGCTGAGGTGGATGGATCACAACGTCAGGAGATCGAGACCATGCTGGTCAACATGGTGAAACCCTGTCTTCACTAAAAATACAAAAATTAGCTGGGCTTAGTGGCAGGCACCTATAGTCTCAACTACTCAGGAGGCTGAGGCAGGAGAATTGCTTGAACCTGGGAGATGGAGGTTACAGTGAGTGAAGATTGTGCCATTGCACTCCAGCTCAGGTGACAGTGAGAGACTCCATCTCAAAAAAATAAATAAATAAATTTTGCTTAATGGACTTTGGAGACTCAGAAGGAGAAGGCTGAGAAGGGAGTAAGGAACAAAAACTACATATTGGGTACAATGTATACTATTTGGGTGACAGGTGCACTGAAACCTCAGATTCATCACTATACAATTCATCCATATAACCAAAAACCACTTATACTCCAAAAGCTATGGAAATAAAAACAATTTTTTTAACTGTAGCTTAGTGTTCAGGAGTTGTGGGGTCCAAACCAAAGCCAATTCACTACTCTGGCAAGTGACTCCTGACAAGTTACCCCAGGGAACTTCTAAAACACTGTATCATCTCTTAAACAAATACCTATGTGAGCCAGGTTTAAGCCCTTTAATTCATTTACTCTTCACAACAACTTGGTAACACTGTGCAATTATCATCCCCATTTTACAGATGAGGAAACTGAAGCAAAGAGAGAATAAATGACTTTGCAAATTATCACACAATGGAATACTACAAAGCCTTTTAAAAGAAGGGAACTTTGTTATCTGTAACAACATGGATGAACCTGGAGAACATTATGCTGTGTGAAATAAGCCAGGCACAGAAAGACAAATACCACATGACCTCTCATGTGGTATTTGTATACATGTGATATGATTTGGCTCTGTGTCCCCACACAAATCTCAACTCAAACTGTAATTCCCACATGCCAGGGGAGCTTGGTGGAAGGTGATTGGATCATGGTGGTTGCCCCCATGCTGTCTCGTCATAGTGAAATCTTATGAGATCTTATGGCTTAAAAGTGTGGCATTCCCCCACCACCTTGGCACCATGTAAGATGTGCCTTGCTTCCCTTTCACCTTCTGCCATGATCGCAAATTTCCTGAGGCCTCCCCAGCCATGCAGAACTGTGAGTCAATTAAGCCACTTTTCTTTATAAATGACCTAGTCTCGGGTAATTCATTATAGCAGTGTGAAAATGGACTAATCCAATATGGAATCTTACAAAGTCAAAACTATAGAAGTAGAGAGTAGGATGGTGATTACCAGAATCTGGGGTTAGGTGAAAGGGAGATGTTGATCAAAGGGCAAAAAGTTTAAACAGGAGGAATAAGTTTTAGTGGTCTATGGTACGATACGGTGACTATAGCTAATAATATTGTAAGTTTCCAAATGCTAGAAAAGTAGATTTCACACATTCTAACCACACCACAAACAAGTTGATCAGGTGCTGGATATGTCAGTTAGCTTGATTTAATCATTCTGCAACGCATACGCATATCAAAATACCCCATTGCACCCCATAAATATATACAATTATTTGTCAATTTGAAAAAATTCGGAGAAATAGGGTATGTGACATAAAAAATAAGAGTGAGTTGATAGGATAGACTGGACAAAGAGGCATCTTTAGACTGGTGTTGAAAGAAGGTCTTCCTGAAGGAGGGTCACTTGAGCTGAGGCCCGAAGGACAAAAGAAGCCAGGCACATGGCCGGGCGCGGTGGCTCAAGCCTGTAATCCCAGCACTTTGGGAGGCCAAGGCGGGTGGATCACGAGGTCAAGAGATCGAGACCATCCTGGTCAACATGGTGAAACCCCGTCTCTACTAAAAATACAAAAAATTAGCTGGGCATGGTGGCGCGTGCCTATAATCCCAGCTACTCAGGAGGCTGAGGCAGGAGAATTGCCTGAACCCAGGAGGCGGAGGTTGCGGTGAGCCGAGATTGCACCATTGCACTCCAGCCTGGGTAACAAGAGTGAAACTCCGTCTCAAAAAAAAAAAAAAAAAAAGAAGCCAGGCACACAATGATCTGAGGAAAGCCGGTCCAGAGAGAAGTGACTATGTGAAGACCCCAAAGCACAAAGGAGCTGGATATGAGGTAGTGTTTCTCAGACTGCACATGCATCAGATGCACCTGGAAGATGCGTTAAACCCAGATCACCAGGTCTTATCCCCAGAGAGTCTGATTCAATGGGTCTGGGGTGGGGCCAGGGATTTTCACATCTAACAATTTCCCAGGGGATGCTGATGCTACTCAGCTAGAAACAATTTGAGAACCACTAGTCTAGAAAAAGAGTTCACTAACATTTTATGGAAAGGGCTAGTTAGTAAGTGTTTTTCATTTTAAAAGACTAGAAGATCTCTCGGTTTCAACTACTCAACCCTACTGTTGTATCACAAAACCAACTACAGTGTGTAAACAAATGAGCACAGGTGTAATCCAATAAAACTTTATTCATAAAAACAAACAGCAGGCTGAAGTTACTCCATGGGCCATAGTTTGCTGGCCCCTGGTCTGGGGAAGCAAGGGCCAACTATAAGCCCACCTTAAACTCCTTCCAAGCTAGAAAGCAAAGCAAACCCCTATGGCCCCACATCATGACCCCCACTAGAGAAACTGCATGTTTCTCTTCACTTTGATTAGACTTTCATGTCTCAGCCTAAAAGCCACATCCCTGGTAAGACTTCCCAACTCCCCTAGGTCTGAGTTGGGCACCTGTCCTCGGCATACCTATGGTGCCACTCACTTGCTCCATCACAGTACTGAGTCCAGTGTGACATGAGTGACTAGATGGTCTTTTTTAAAAAGGGGCATCAGTTCTGTCCCCTCTAGGCCCCATCCTTGGTACCTGGCACAGGGTCTGGTATACAACAGGCCACTGAAAGCGCTGCTTCCGTTTTCCCCATTTCCGCCACCATTTCCATGACTTGAGCTGCTCTCTCCACACTCCAGTTGGCCTGGGAGTCTTGTCAAAATACAGAGCCTGATTCCTTCCGCCTGAGGTAGGACCTGATACTCTGCATTTCTAACCAATTGGGAGGAGATGTCAAGGCTGCTGGCCTGTGGATCACACTTTGGATGGCAAGAATTTAGAAAACAGAATGAAAGCATCCCTCTGACGGTACCATAGAAGAAGTGGAGGCCCTTGAATCACTTTCTCAAACACGATTGACGTAGAAACCCAGGACCCCAGGCCTGGCTTCCTGACTGATGTTGAAAGAAACCATACTTAACAACCAACAAAGGAATTATACTTCACAAACCTCATTATATTTCCTGTTATTTTAACTATCATTGTAATTAAACTCAAAGATTTATCACACACAGCTCACTTTGGCACATAGTGCATGCTTTGATTTTCAGCATATACAACCTACTCTGGTGCCCTTGAAATTCATTTGTCAAACAAAAGGATGTCACTGGCTGTAAATCACAAGAACACTTTATTAGGCAAAGTTCCCAACTCTCTTGTGCCAGGCTTTGTCAAGAAACAGAGCATTTTGATATGTTCTAAATTGTATGTTGTTCTCATGCTCCTGGCCACTGGCATCTGCCACACAGAAGACTCTTGAAATCAACATGGAATGATAGTGTCTTGGAGCTAGCAGGGATCTTTTATTTCTCGGCTCCAGATCCATTCATTGATAGACAAAGAA